AAAGACAACAAACCTGAGCGACCGCCTGTAGACTGTGTGAGCTCCCCCGAGTGTGCTCGTGATTGTGTGTACCTTCTTATCTCCCTGCAGCTTCTTTTCTCCCCTTCATCCCTTCCAAGGTGCAGGGTAGCAAACCGGATGTGCGTCTGGTTAACCTCCCTGCCTTTCCTTGCATCTTTATCTCTCTCTCTCTAAACGGCCATATGACTATGAGAGACGCCGTATAGTGAAGGGCTCCGGAAATTTCGAACATCTGGTGTTCTTAAAGGTGCAACTACATCGCACTGTACACGGTCATCTACCATATCATCTCCATCAAAATGCCACCCCCCCTCCCACCCTTATTATGTCAGTGTAAGGGGCTGACGTTAGACCAACCTCCCTTTTAGGTGACTATAGGGGGGCACCCCTCCCCCTTCCTGTGCGCACGCCTGTGGTGATTGCTGTACTAGCGTATATAACACACTTTTGCGCGAGGGCCTCCGAGATTATACCGTCGTGAAGATGCGCCGCGCCGGAGATTGGGGAAGCGATGTTGCCGACTCGACTGTTGAGGCGCTTAACGTATACAGTCGCGAGAGAGAAGGAGAGAGCACTTCAAACACCTCCCCAAATGACTGTATACGTGGATCCTCAGTTCGAATAATAACGCTATTAACATTAACGACACAAGGGTCATTTTTTATAGCTCATTTCTGTTACATATACATGTATACGCCATCCTCGTCCGATATATGCCGCGCGAGAGAGCGATCCAAAAGGCCGACAAGCGATGCCGTGTTTTAAACGTATATACTAGACCGATGCGCGCACAAACACCTGATGATGATGATGATGATGAACCTTCAGCTTTGCTGGCACTCGCCCACAAAGGGGGATCGGCCAAGACACCTAAACCTTGCAAGCCTTCCGCGTGGGTTTTTTTTTTTTCTTTTCCCGGATAATTAATAGCGCGAGGTATTTCGCGTCGCGAAAAGCTTTCCACTTGCAGAGAGATGTGTCGCAATCTCGCGGGGCGCCGGTATACGTCGGCGGCGGTCAGAAGCGCGGCGGAGTCGCAATTAACGGGAATTCAAGGAAATTAACTGCGCAAAGCGGCGCAGCGTGGTGTATAGGGGGCGCGATTACCTACACTCCGCGCACGCTGGGCAGCCGCGTCTTCCACATTTGTTTTTCCCTTCCTTATCGACAAGCACGATAGACGTTCGGAGGGGCAATTTTCGCCGCCATTTAGTGAAATCAAAAAGCGCGCGCAGGGGGGGGGGGGGGCGCACGGTCCCGGGAACATCATTGCTTTGTGCCACGCATATGAAAGCACGTGATCGCACGTTGACGGGCTTGACGTGATACGCAACGGCGGAGAGGTGTTTTGATTCTGAAGAGAACGTAATTGATTGATTGATATGTGGGGTTTAACGTTCCAAAACCACCGTATGATTACGAGAGACGCCGTATAGTGGAGGGCTCCGGAGATTTCGACCATACCTGGGGTTTTCTTTGACGTGCACCAAAATCTGAGCACACGGGCCTATACGACATTTCCGCCTCCATCGGAAATGCAGTTGCCGCAGCCGGGATTCGATCCCGCGACCTGCGGGTCAGCAGCCGAGTACCTTAGCCACTAGACCACCGTGGCGGGGCAAGAGCACATAGTAACAATGGTTGGTGTTTTACTTCCCAAAAGCCACGCTACGATTGTCAGGGAGTGGAGGGATACGGAAATGACACGACCAACTGGGATTCTTCAACGTGCACCGAGCTCTAAGGACACGGGATTCTATCTTTTTATAATAATAATAATAATAATAATAATAATAATAATAATAATAATAATAATAATAATAATAATAATAATAATAATAATAATAATAATACCTGGGGTTAACGTCGCAACATCACCATATGATTATGAGAGACGCCATGCATAGTGAAGTGATCCGGATATTTTGACCATCCGCATGGTGTTCTTTAACGTGCACCTCAGTTCCTCAAAACTTTCGCCTCCATCGAAAATGCAGCCGCCGCGGCTGGGATTCGATCCCGCTACCTTCGGGTCAGCAGTGAAGCATCGAAACCACATGTAGACCACCCACGACGGGTCATCAATCAATCAATCAAATCAGCGACGCTGTCAAACAGAGAACGTTCTCTGCGGGGACAGTCTTGGAAGACAGCAAATATACTTGGGTGGTCTCGTCGCTGGAGATCTTCGAAGCATTCACACACTGTACATATACAGATTCGCTGTTTTGAAAGGGTGACATATCGCGGTCATATCTGCAGATCTACAGTATATTAACACCCACTTAACACCCCGTAGCGGTGTCGCCTGAACTGGTCAACACCCAAGGACGCGGAGACGCAGAGAACAATATACGACCTCGCTGCATGTGGTGTTACAAATATTCCGGCGATGAGCTGTCCTCCATACGAGACGTGTTTTCCGAGAATCGAGTGACTTCACACACGCAGCTATATGCGAAATTTCTTGTTTTCTTCTTCTTCTTCTTCTATGTTTTTTTTTGTTCGGCTGCAATAGCTAGAACTTCAAGTACTTGCTACGCATACTTCCGTTGTGACGTGTACGTGCCACCGGGACGAGCGTTCGGCGGCCGGCGATACGGCCGCCCGAAAGGTTGTACCAGCTGCGCGCTTTTTTTCTTTCGCACAAGATAACAAAAAATAATAATAAAAAATAACATCCGTACGTCGAAACAGCTGATGCGCGTTTCATGGCGAAATTACGACTCCTCCGACCGGTAAACAAAAAAGACTAAATATTAACCGTGTAGTATTACAATGAAAAAAAGAGAGAGAAGGAAAGAAGTTTGTTCAGTACACTGAGAAATCGAACCTCTCGCAGTCAGAACATCGATATTTTAAAACAATGCCGCAGAGAAACGAACGGAGAAATAACTCGTTATACTAAAGAGTATTGATCGCCGTTGGCACAGGCGTGCACACGAGGGCCAGCGCGGGAGGGGGAGGCCCCCCCCCCCCCCTAATCACCTAAGAAGAGGGGAGCACAGTCTGCCTATAGTATTTCGCCCCATACGTTTAATCACTAATGGTCGCGCCATGTTTTTTTTTTTTTTTTACATATTGACGGCCCAAGGACCCTGATGTTGCATTCGAAGGGCTGTCTTAGCAGCAACAAATGGCGCAACGTTGCAGCAACACTCAGAAAGTTGCTTCAACGTCGTGACAACATTGCATGCTTCCAGGGATATGTTTCCTTCCTATCATTACTCCCCTCAAGTCAGGGACCGAGGTAATGTCGTGAGAGGCACGCCATCGATACATTTTCGTTCATTTTTTTTTCACCCATTGTGAAGCGTTTTGTTCTCTGGACTTCACCAGTCAGGGATGGGGGGAATGGGCGTTGACGGGGGGGGGATGCAAAAGGGCGCTTTCCACCCTCAAACTACACCAGTACTTGCCCCCCACCCCAGCCCCACCCCGCTCAAGCCACACTGGTGCTCTGTCCCTCCCCTAACCGCGATACAGCCCGAGTTTGCACCTCCCAAGACAAAATTCTGCCGACGCCCATGGTGGGTGGAGGTTGCGATTATATTACAGCTCCCCCCCCCCCCCACCACCCCCTTGATGGGCAACCAACCCTGCACACGTCTACGACTATTGGCGATGCCACACGTACGATGCCCGGATGAAACGATAGGCACTTCAAAAGAAAAAAAAAAAACTCTTCCGAAAGTGGCAGGAGGCGAGCAAAGCTGATGTTAGAGACAGGCGCTAAAGTAGAACAAAGAATCCAATTTCGCACCGAAATCTTGCACATTAAGGTCGGAGTGACGTCATAGATTTCGATGTGTCCTCTCAGATTTTGCCTACACTGGCTAAGAAAAAAAAAGGAACATTATGAACGCTAAGTACCAGATTCAACCCCCTTAGATGACGATGCACTTCATTTTTACCGTTCAAGAACTACGCATTCCCTTGAAGACACCGTAAGAATATTCGACAAAACAGCAAGCAGGTACGAAAACAATAAGGTGACGCTGCCATCTGCATTTCTTTTTTTTTGCTTAGCAGGTGTTTTCCCGAGACAAAAGTGGCGCTTTGGTCTTTTGACACGGAATCTTACCAGTAGGATGATGATGATGATGATGATGACCACTTTATTTAATTAGCAGAAATTTTTTTCTCTGTCTCTGTTTACTTAGTGTCAATTTAAGGCCTACCTGCCAAGTGGGGTTCGCAATTAGGGAGACTTTTAAAGTGGAGAAGGAAGAACAGAGGCGGGAGAGAAGCGAGTTAATTATCACTAAAAAAGTGGCCCACATTTTTATTTGTGGTTTCTCGCAGCAACGTCGTAGACAGCTTGGAATGACTGCCACTAACGTTTCTAGACGTCAGAAATTATACTGGTATTCGAAATCATACGGCGCGCGCACTACTGAGAAAATATGCGACAAAATTTACCCTGTCCAGTTACAGTTGGTAGCCGCTTTTGAATTTCAGTACGCGTTCTTGCATGACACCAGTGCACCGCGGTGAAGTAGCACACTTTTTCGCATTACACCAGTGTACTGCGGTGAAGTAACTAAACAAGCGTACCGCGCGTGATAAACTAACCCCCGTATTCACAAACGCTCTTGGACTCGACTTTCACCCTTCACTTGACAGAATTGAGCTCTGCACCGCCGCTCAGCTGATAATGGTGCTGCGCTACACAGGAATCGCAGCAGATCATCGCTGATATGCAGTGACTTGTCGTGACTAGAGATGGCGCTCCCATAGGCTTTCTCAAGTGAAAGTGGAACGTTGAGTGAAGGGACGTTCTAGATTACGGGGGTAAGGCTAGAAAATTTTAGAACCACTTTCCTTCGTTATTTTGCTTCTGCGGCGAGGTTAGAGGAGTTTTCGGGAGATTGGCGGCCGTGATTGTACAAGCGAAAGGATTGTCCGAAAAATTCGGGAGATTCCCGGGCAAATCGGGAGAGTTGGCAAGTGCGTAGGTAGGGCGCATGCGCACTTACTGTGAGTGGCGGTCGCGCAACGCCTGGAGTTCGTTCCCGAGTCCGGTGGCGGCCGGTTGCGAAGCCCAGTCGAGGTAGGACAGCACGGGCTCCGCCTTACGGCCGGCTTCTTCCACCTGGACGCCCAGGGGCTCTCCGGTCACCTGAGACAGCAGACTCTGCAGGGAGTCCACCAAGGGGGGCGGTTTTGGTCACACCGCAAGAAGAAAGAGAGAGAAGCGACGAAGAAGTTTGTGCCCGCTGTACGGGTTAAGACGCGGACACTGCCCTGCGTGAGCAGGACTGAGCACCCGCGCACTAGTGCCACACACAAACACGCACAGACACCTCGTAGATCGTGTTTAGGTGGTCGATGGTCAAACGAAGCGCACACGGTTCACGAAACGCACACGACTCTTCGAAATCGTATAGCCACAGTTAACTGCGTGAAGTCGTTAGGGAGGATGTGCGCCTCTCATTATGTAAACAAAGAGGGCCTTCGCCTTACTGTCTATAAGTTCGTTTCTTTTAAAATGGAGCAGACGACGCTTGTATTGACGACACCAAATGTAAAGACAAAACCGGGAGTTGCGGCAGAAGTTGCGGACGGTGGCGGTTGCGTACGACAGTGGTTGCGGAATACAAGAGGTGCTGACGACTGAAGTTGCGGATGACAGGGGTTGTAGACGATCAGTTAAAGAAGACGACGACTCCGACTAAAGAAAGATGGCGTACGGGCACGACAAATGTTACACGCGACGGATTGCTCGAGCAGCATCGTTCAAGAACCTCGTGGCCGGAAAAAAAATAATAAAAAGAGGTGCTTAAACGATCTGCCTGAGAAACCGCGATTCTGTGTGGGGGAGTGACGGGAGGATTTCACGTATGTATACGCTAAGCTCGTGGGGGTTTGTGCCTATGAATTTCACGACAAACTGGTCTCGAAAACTGGGGCTTGCTCTTGGACGAAGTCCCACGCTGGGAGGGGGGCTTGGCGGTAGTAGGACGTCCTCGATGAAGATTCTCGTCGAAGTCCGTGGGGAGACGTTGCACAGGCTTACGCACTGAAGTTGCGCAGGAAAGTCATAAGTCTACAAAGGCGGAGCCAGTCCGCCCGAAATGATGAACAACGTAACCGTGCATCATTTCGCACAAGGATCTACACTGTATCAGGCTCACGTTGGGTATCTGTCTCTACAAGATCCGGTTACCACGGAACCGACGATAACGGAAGGTTGATCCAGAAGCACCGAAGAACACATGCAGACGACGTAGACGGCCCAATCTGGGAATCCGGTGGGACGCGCTTTTTTTCGGTCACAAAATGGCGGTCACCGGGTGCATATACGTCGCCACAATCTTGCTGACGGGTGCTCAACAACGGAAGGAACGCTCTAAAGTAATCTAGATGGGGTTAGGTCTGCCTGCCTCGCACGGATCGATGACGATGTCCTTGCTGGCCGGACGCGTTGTCGTCTGGTTCAGAACCGCAGCAGACGACGCGCCGACTCTTCGGTTTCCCGCAGGTCGCGTGCTAAGCGCACGGTGCGCACGCGTCGGGCTAGAGCCAAGACCTCGCTAGACGGGAAAGAGCGGCGCTAATTTTAGGAAACGCCCCTTCCTCTTTCGAGCCTTCAACTCTCCCGTCGCAGACCGCGACCCAAGCCTTTGCTCAGCATATGCACGCAAAAAATACACACATACAAATGAGGACGAAGGAGAGAGAGAGAGATATAGTGCAACGGTCACAAGAGAGAATTTTTGTTGTTTTTTTTTTGGAACGCGGTGCGGTGGCAAACGAGACACAGCTGGACTCGTCGTCACACGTGGGTTGGATTGCGGTCGAGGTCCCCTTCTTTAAATTCTCCATCTTTTCTTTGTCTCTTTTGCAGGAATAGTCAGGTTCATGAACGTCAGAATAAAGACTCGCCCTAATTTCAATAGCGAGACGGGCTGAGAATGGGCGGGACATGTTAATGAGGACGACGGAAACTCCGAAGAATTACGGATAAAGAGAAAGCTCTGCGGTTGGTCTTCCACGTGGTGAACCTTCTTAAAAAAAAAAAAAAAAAGCTGACGCTACGAAAAAGAAGAAGGAAGGAGAAAGCGTGCTTAGACGTAGAGACGAGCAGTCAGCCAGAGACTCGCAACATGAGAGAGAATACCATCTCCTAATTTGCGTTTGTTGAATGCCGTGGTTGCGCTTCACAAGAGCGCATCTGAGCTTTGATTGATTGATATGTGGGGTTCAACGTCCCGAAACCACCGTATGGAGAGACGCCGTAGTGGAGGGCTCCCGAAATTTCGAACACCTGGGGTTCTTCAGCGTGCACCCAAATCTGAGCACACGGGCCCACAACATTTCCGCCTCCATCGGGAATGCAGCCGCCGCAGCCGGGATTCGATCCCGCGACCTGCGGGTCAGCAGCCGAGTACTTTAGCCACTAGACCACCGCGGCGGGGCAGCGCATCTGCAGCTTTGCCAGCTGCCGCTGTTTCCTTCAAAACTTTCCCGTTGTCTCTCGCTTTCATGCCTTTAGTTGCGAGCGCAAATCACGTGAACTTATACTACAATATCTATAGGGACGCGCGCAATATATGCAAAAGAACAAGCGGAGCACTACCGACAGCTCCTGAAGGGAGTAACTACATATGACCCACTTTTAACTCCCCTTTACGGGAATCGCCGTTTACACCCGCCAAAAAAAAAAAAAAGAGATGCAAGGAGGAGTATTTAGGGCGCCTTTCTGTCACACCTCTATGATCGTCACCCCGGCTCGCCTGCGCTTCCTTTGACGAAAACTGTGTGCTCGCCAGTTTTCCCTGAATCTGGTGTGGAATCTCCCTCACACTGGCGGCCCTTTGAAGCGCCGGGCGCGCGGAAATAACGAACGCGATAGGCGTGGTGCGGGGTTCCCCTACCGACTTTGTACTTCTTCCTCTCCTCTCTTACGTGACTATAAGGTGCCCCTGTCGCCCCCCTCTCCCGCGCGCGCACGCCTATGCACTTGACGCAGACGATTATTGCCGCAGGACAATAAAGACGTCCCCCAAAGCACGCAACTCCTCTTAGAGAGTATACTTCAACTACACTCCCGAGAAGAGCCTTTTTTTTTCACCACAACGGAGTATATTTACTCCCTTTTTCGGGTCCTGAAGGAGTTAATGTACGCTTCGCACGAGAAGACGAATAAAAACCTCTCCATGTTCGGGAGTAGAATACGCTCCCGCAAACGAGGAGCTAAATATCGGACGAGATACCGCGAGTGTATACCCCGTTCACTTATGCACAGCGAAAAACGCCTAGACTCGCCGACTACGAGGGAAATAATGCTTTCCGCATAAAAAAAAGGAATAATCTGAAGGCGACCGTTTCTGCGGTCTTCGTGCGGGCCCACGCCACTTCCCATCCGATTTCCTCATTCCCGGAGACTCCGGATTCAACTACTATAGCGTGAGAGCATATACGAAACAGCTGTAAGGTGCACGCCAAGGATTGCGACACCACACACGTATTAAAAAAACAAAAACAAGATAAACGAATGTTCGCTCTCGTGCCTCACGGGCCAAGGTCTCTCTTTCTCTGTACGCGCCCGGTGCCAGGAACTTCGAAACGGGCGTCATCGGCCCGACAGGGCGCGGCCTTCCTGTCTTCCCTTACACCGCGATTGTCCTTTCGTACAGAGGTTGCTCAAGACCCGCGCAGTCACGGAGACGGCGAGTTCCGTTGTCCCCCCCGCTTTGCCGGGCTTTCGTGTTCGCGCTCGATCAATAAGCATTTCGAAATGGCGAAACAGCTGCTCGCTGCTATGTATATACACGCATTTAAAAAAAGATAAGAAAAGGTTTTGTACGCGGGGGCGTCTATGCTAAACGGATAGCGACCACTGGCCAGTGGTGCGCTGGTTTGTCGTATTTGCTCGTGAACAACCAGCACTGATCAGCGCCGGCTGAATTGGCTATAAATGATGGCTGACCTCCGCTAGTGTTCGCAGAACGATGAACGATTCTTAGTGGAAGAAGAAGAAGAAGAAGAAGAAGAAGAAGAAGAAGAAGAAGAAGAAGAAGACGAAGAAGAAGAAGAAGAAGAAGAAGAAGAAGAAGAAGAAGAAGAAGAAGAAGAAGAAGAAGAAGAAGAAGAAGAAGAAGAAGAAGAAGAAGAAGAAGAAGAAGAAATTTATTGAGAAGAAGGAGGTATTGTCGGCCTAGAAAGCGGATTCCTAGCTTGCCCTTCCTGAGTGTTGGAATTAATGCCGAAAGATGGGCTAGGTTGCCCCGGTGGCTCAGCGCTGTTACGGTGATCGGCCGCTGAGTCGTAAGTCGTGGGTTCGAAGCCGGCCGAAGCGGTCGTATTTCCAAGAAGGCTACGAATGCTGGAGGCACGCGTGCTCTCTGCACGACGGCAGAGCGCGTTAAAAAACCCCGGTTGGCCGAAATCATCCGGAGACCTCCACTGCGGTGTCCGTTGTGGCCCGAGTGACTCCGGGATGTTAAAACCTAACCAACGTCAACGCGCAGCATGGATGGATGGATGGATTGATGTGGCTGTACCTTTTAGATCGGGCGGCGGCTAACGCCACCTAGCCGTAATACTTAGCGAACTAACACATAGATTTATCTTTTTTCCCCCTTTAGATAGTGAAGTATAGGACTGGTACTTTGCAGTGAATGGTTCAATTTTCATTCGTGCCTTGACTTTAGCCACCAATCAGATAACCTCCTTCTAGTTAATTCTACCCGCTTGAAGTCTATTTTGACCTCCCTGTCTCTAAACCCTAGTGCTTTCAAAAACTCTGCGCCACCATCCTGAAATATAGGCTGAAGCCCTTTACAGAACATTATCAGGTGTTCGGCAGTGTCCACCAGCATGCCCTCTTCCTATGCATGCCCTCTGCCTACTGAGCCCTCTCCCTCCACAGGGAGAAGGCGCGCTATTGGGTTGCATGCAGAAACTTTTTTTCGGGGGAAGGGGGGGGAGACACCTCTTTGATTTAAAGTGGGTGCGGGCAGGCAAATTGTCATTTTGCACAAAGTATGCATGACTGGTGGACTGCCACTACCCCTCCAGATGAATACATAAATAACAGCCGCATCTTGCCGCTATACTTACTTACGGAGCAGAAACCCGGAGGCTTACAAAGAGGGTTCAGCTTAAAGTGAGGGCGATGCAACGAGCGGT